CACAAAAAAAAAAAAAATCAAAGAAGCTGGAAAACAAATAAGATATAAAGGAAAAGAAAAGAGGTGCTTTCAATACCCCAGGCAAAATTTCTTTAGTGTTTTACAAGATAAAGAAAATCATGATAAAACAATAAATGAATAAATGATCTGAGCATTTTCATTTTTGGGTGAGCTATCCCTTTAAGTCTCATTGCCAGTTATATAGAAGTAACAAACTGTCACAAATCTGTCCTCATCTGATTTGTCATGGCTACACAAACAAGCGCTACTTTGCAGCCAAATCCAATTTGCGGCCAGAATGATGCAGCAACTAAATCAACATTGATTCAGCAAAATCAATTACAGGTCCTTTTCAGATTCGAGTTGAAAGCTCATACCATATAAGCGTTCGACTCAAATCTCTTCTACAGCGCAGTGCTGTTGTGTTCGTGACCACCTGTGACGGCAGCCGTCTGATGATTGTTATTTCCTGTTGCCAGGTGATGCCGACCGCCCGCTGTGTATCCTGACCTTTACGCTGGAACCAGGATTTATGGAACGGATGTGAAATATATCTGTATATATAAGGCAGCGAATTTGTGAGTGCTGAAAAACAATGCACAAACCCTTGACTACTGCAACCAAACCCTGCTCTTATTCTTTTGATAGCCATAAAATTGGTACAGCTTTCCTAGAGCCATTTTTATGGTTTCTTGGTGCTCGGTTCCTGCCCTTGTGACCCGCTGGAATATTGTGACTTCGCAATATATGTGGTTCCTTGTAAGTTGCTGTGGTAAGAAGCAACAATACATTAATCATGCTACATATTAAATTTAATATGTTTTTTTTATTTCAATGTCCAACCACACTGTAAAAAATAAAATAGTTGAGAAAACATAAAAAAAAGGCAACTTGATGTAGTAAGACTTATGAATTCTTTCAACAACAGTTTTTTAGTTCTTCTCAGTAGAGATACTTTGTTCAGCCAATGTAAATTTGTTTGTTCATGCAATGCTGATTGTCTTATTTTGCTAATAGAACAATTCTTGTCACAGCAAATGAAACAACAATTAACGTTATTGAGGTAATTAATTTTTTTCTGTTTCCTGGATGAAAAAAGAATGTGTAAAAAGGCACCAAATTATTGATTTTATGTTTATTTACGAATGACAAACCCTATGGACAACTTAGTATAATATGTAGACAACACTGTCTTTGTTTGTAAAACAACTTACAAGACTAAGATAACCAGGAAATAGATATAAGTGGCTGAACACATACTCTAGGCCTCAAAACTATAGACACACAAACCTCAAGAACGATGGCAATCAACAAATGTTAAAAAGATGAGCTCTTTAAATCACAGTACAACAAATAACTAACAATAATGACAAAACAACAACAAAAACGTTTAAATGAAGTCAGCAAACAGCAAAAAGAATAATCCTATAATAGCAACTGCATAACTTATTCATGCTGCAATGCATGCTGGGAACTCACAAAGCCTTAACATTTCAACAATATGAAATTACAGCTTTCCTAGAGCCATTTTTATGGTTTCTTGGTGCTCGGTTCCTGCCCTTGTGACCCGCTGGAATATTGTGACTTCGCAATATATGTGGTTCCTTGTAAGTTGCTGTGGTAAGAAGCAGCAAAATAAATGGAAATGGAAATGTGCAGACTTACAGCGGAAGACTTCCATCAGAATTCATCATCAGCATTCTGCTCCTCCTGAATGCATCTTTCTCTCTCTCTCGCTCTCTCTTATGTTTTCTAAATCTTTTGTGTTTCCTTTTCCTATTCTTTTGTGTTGCTAGAGATAATTCAAGGGTAGGTTAACATGTTTGTACACACACACACACACAAAGGTTAAAGATGTGATAAAATGATGTATTGACTGTCGGTACACACACACACACACACACACACACACACACACAGACAGGGTGACGTATAGTGTTTCAGAGCATGTTCTAACCATAAATAGAATTCTGAATTAAAGAACTCAGTCCATTTTAATTGATTCATTCAGTTGAATGAATTGGAATTTAAACTCAATTGGATAATAGCAACTGCATAACTTATTCATGCTGCAATGCATGCTGGGAACTCACAAAGCCTTAACATTTCAACAATATGAAATTCTTTGTTCAGAGAACTGTGTTTGACTAGTTGGGACAACATTTGGGGTAATTCAAGAAAACTGCATTTTTTAATATTTAAGACTCAAAAGGTTTTGCAAACTGGAAACTGTGCAACTGCATTTTTTACAGTGATATAAATATTATTGGTCCATAAAATGTGCTGTTTGACTATATAAATATACACTATTGTTCAAATCACCAAGGCTGCATTAATCAAAAATATGTGTAAAAACAGTAATATTGCGAAGTATTATTACAATTTAAAATACCTGTTTTCTGTTTGAATGTATTGTTAAATGTAATTAATTTCTGTAATGGAAATGCTGAATTTTCATCAGAAAATATTTCTTGTTATTATCAATGTTCTATGTATTATCAATTATAAAAAGAGTTGAAAACAGTGCCGCTTATTATTTTTGTGGCAACCGTGATACTTTTTTTTCAGCATTCTTAGATACATAGAAAGTTCAAAAGAACAGCATCTTACTTTTTAATATTCATTTGGTTAAAAAAAGAACATAATTTATTGAAATATAAATCTTCTGTAACATTATAAATGCCTTTACTGTCACTTTTGAATTCAATGTAGTCTTGCTAAATAAAAGTATTCATTTTGTTTTTTATTTATTTTTATTCAGTATTCATTTTTGTAAAAAAAAAAAAAAAAAAAAAAAAAAAAATTTTAAAGGGGGTCATATGATGCGATTTCAATTTTTCCTTTCTCTTTGGAGTGTTACAAGCTCTTGGTGCATAAAGAAGATCTGTAAAGTTGCAAAGACTAAAGTCTCAAATCCAAAGAGATATTCTTTATAAAAGTTCAGAGTCAGCCACACCTACCTAAAATGGCTCGTTCTAACACGCGAAACTACTTTGTTTGGTCTTCCAAAAAAGGACTAGAAATCAGTGGTTATGTTGTATTTACAACACTGTTCCAGAACA